AAGTGGTACGAGCTTCATCAGCCTGTAGTGTTTGCCCTTCAGTATCTAAGGGGAACAAAGTGGTATGACATTCATCAACCTGCAGCTTCTGCCCGACAGTGTCTTCTGGCTCAGAAGTGAAATGATTTTCATCAACTTGTAGATTTTGCCCTTCAGTGTCTGCTGCCACAGAAATGATATGAGCTTCATCAACTTGTAGCTTTTGCCCGACAGGGTCTTCTGGCACAGAAGATGTATGAGCTTCATCAACTGTACTGGGCTTTGTTTCTAATGGGCTTTCAAACCTAGAATTCAGCATGTTTTCAGTATTCTCACTGGCACTGGTTTCTTCTATCCTTACTTTTGCCTCACTGTCACCCTGAAGATCACTTACATTTTCAGTGATATCTTGCACAATGCCTGATTTCTCAATCTGATTTTCTGATAGTAAAGTACTTTTTCCAGCAATGTTTATTCCAGTTCCGTCAGATTTTATGGTATGATCTTCAGATTCTATTAGACTTTCAGATTTTGAGGCATTATTATCCACTGACAAATCTAATGATTTTAAATTATCTTCTGAATAGGAACTGATCACGTCATGTTCCATGACACTTTCTACATCCAGTTGAACTGCAGGTGGTTCCTCTTCTTTAAGCCTATTTTTTTCTTCTTGACTGTTTTGATTCAAACCACTTATGTTTATAGCACCAGATATGATGGGCTCCTCCTTAGACAGTGCATGCTCTTTGTCTTCATCTGAAAATTTGGCTAAACTTTCTTCTCCTAGGATATGCTTGCTGGGATCATAATCTTTAATGTTGCCTATGGAATACATAGATTGAGACTCTTCACCCTGAATTTCTTTAACTTCTTTGCCTAAAGTATATTCTTGACTGCCCGTTTCTTGAGAACCCTGAAATGAACTATCATCATCAACGGCTTTATGTCTTGCCTTATAAAATCCTACAATATTATCATAGACACTGCCATACCAACCTGTATTTTCCTCTTTCTTGTGCTCTTCATCTTTAGTTATCACTACTTCTGGAACAGCATTTGATTCTTTCATCTCAGCTTTTAATTCAGACATCTGGGAGCTTTGCTCACTGTTTCGCTGGAGAGCTGTTATTGTTGTTGTTGTTGTTCCACCAGGATCTTTTGCTTCTTGATCCTGTACAGTATGAACCTGTGATTGACTAAAATCCTGTCTTGGTGTTTTCGCATCTACAGCAGTTTCTAATATTTTACTTTCACCCTCAGTATTTTCTCCCCTTCCCTCACCTTCCTTGTCACTGTTCTTCTGACCATAGCTCAACAGATCCCCGACACCAAAGCTAAGCCAAGACTTGGACTGTGCATCCTCTTCCTTTGTAGTCTCTGTCTCAGCTATCACCCTTTTATTACTCGTTGCTGGACTTTGACCCCTGTCCTGCAGTGTGACTTTTACTCCTTGTTTTTCAGGGGCATCCGGACCCCCGACTTCAGACGGAGTTTCTTGACTAAGACCAAATATGTTTGATAGTTGTCCCCCAAGCCAACCAGATTTTTTCGCTTCTGCCACCGTTTCCAGCTTATTACCATCTAAATCATTGTCCTTCAGATCCAATGCAATCTTCCTACTCCTAAAGGAGTATTGTTCCTCTTTCTCTTCCTGGGAAACATCATCCTCTTGGCCTCCGATGCCCAGCCATCCAGTAATTCCAGATCCAAGCCAATGTGACCCACCTCGTTCAACAGTCTTGGGCTCCTCGCTTCTGTCAGTGGTGTGCGGTACTGCCGGGCCATTCTCTTGCCCTTTGGCAATACCTTCGCTATTCTTAAATTTTGTTACAGAGCCTCTTCCAGAGCCACTTGCTTCTGGACTTTCTGTTTCATCTCTTGCTGTTTCTTCCTGATGTTCTTCACTGTCCCAGTGACTGGAGTCACTTTCTATGAAAGCACCGTTTCCGTCTAGACAGAAGAAGTCATGTTCCTGAAAGGAAAAAATAATTCTTCCATGAGAACATTGTGCTGAGAGAACCAAATCCCATCGTGCCCAAAAATCATTAGAATCCTCTTTTCCCCCTTTTAAAAAAGAATTAAACAGGGGAAGGAGGTCACTAATTATTCTAGTTCCTATTTTAATCAGATTACATTTATGATGACAAGAGTGTTACGAGATGATTTCATCAGAAATTCATGCGGAAAAAGTCTGGCAGAACATGAAATCGTCAAAGGTTATCAAAGTTATTGTGAACTTATAACTCTACTTATTTAAGTTTAAATTATGCAGATAAAGTATTTGGACTTCAAGGATAGAATTTGATTTTCTTAAACTTTCTTCGTTTTTTTAGCCAACTAGTACAAGAGAACCATGCAAAACTCACTACCTTTGTTGGAACCTGCACTTCTTTTGTTGCATAAGTCTCTTCAACCTCAACTGCATCTTTTGGGAAATAACCAAACCGCTTGCCGATCTAAAGGAAAGCAACCAGAATTTCATTACTTTTATTATACTAGACTTTACATTTCAAGTCGTATAGCATTACAATAATATACATATATTCAAGTAGTATAATTTTTAACTATGGGCATTAATATGAGATGAGCCCAGGGTCTTATTTTGTTTTAATAATTGGATTTAAATGTTTAATATCATGTTAGCTCAGTGAATCATCGTACTTTGCATTGAAACATGCATAGGGAAACAATTGAACAAAAACGTGTAATGTTCCTCTAAAGCAGCAATAAAAATCAAAGAACTATGTGTGTTTTATAAGCAGTTGTCGCTCCTTATGGCGGTTTTTCAGTTAAATATCTGATTTCAGTTTAAATACATACAGTTCCTGCCCACAGGTCGTCTCTTTTTCCTGAAAGTTTGTGATATACGAATATTACGTCACCGCTTCTGAAATTCAAAAATCTGCAGTCGGGGTTCTTATAGTTTCGTATGGCTCGGACTCGATTTATTGAGCCTAAAACGATACAAAAAAACACAAAAGGTCATATTCTTGTAAAACGGAAAAAACAAGCAGGTACTAGTTTGTAGTAAGAGCAATTAAAACACCATTCATTTTTAAAATTGCGTATTTTGCTTTGGCAATCAGGAAGCAATGGCTCAGAAGTGCTATATCCACTCGTTGAAAAGTATTTATAGACTTTAAAATGGAAAATAGACATATATATATATTAAGCTTGTAACGTTTACCTTAATATGCGAAATGAATGTTATCGACCTTTGACCTATAGTTTGCTTAGTCACCGAGTACCAAGTCTAAAATTGGTTAACTCTGAACTCGAAAAAAATATATTGCTACGCAGATCGAGATGTATTTAAAAAAATATCCATACTCTTGAATAAAGATAAATGGGTGATAATGGTTACCATACTGTACATATGTCGAAACAGTCTACATATGCTAGTAGATGCACTGAAATAACATATATAATGACATTATTTAAAAGCAAATAGAAACCTACTCCAAACACGAGTGCTATTTAAAAACATTTGCTCATTAATTATTACTTTCTGGAGGTGTAGTTACCTGGAAAACTTATTTCTCTAGTTAGACCCCATATTGTAATAAACATTGATGCTTACTTTCACACTCAAGATCTCCACATGTTTTGTAGTCGGACAGTAACCCCAGACTTTGCCTAGTGTTGAGTAAAAACAAAAGAGCTGGCAGAAAAAGCAGTTCACTAATCCCCCGCACCATGTTTTCAATTAGAAGAAAAAACCCATGTTAAACAGTAGAATCTACTTAAATAAGTTATTTCCACAGCGCCATAATATGGGTTAGAGAAAGTCGTCTTCTAATGAAACAGAAAAAAGGCATAAAAGTTTGAAATTCAAGATATAATCCTGCGAAAACAGCGCCTGTTTAAAATGCGGAGTCAGGTCTGTTTGAGAGTAAATCATTAACTGCAATTGAACGGCTTGAGGGCAAAGCCCAGATAGCATGGACTCTCAAAAGACTATAACAGTGGATTCAGCTAATGACATTAAAATACATTTAGGGGAATCAGGGGTAGAATTAACGACATCAATGGCGACGAGTTTCGCACGTTGCGTTGTAACATAGCGATCTGCGTTCTGAAACGGGAAAATTGTTAATGTTTATATTATTTTCGAGGTGAACGTTTAACTGCTAACACGATAACAGCTAACACGCAAATACAACGTGTAGTTTCAATTTAGTCGACCTATTCATATTTTCTATACTGCTTCACTTCATCTGTACTGTTTGTGCATTTCTGGCAACAAGCGGTAACCATGGCAGACGTCGCGTAATTTGTGCGTCACAAAACAACATGGCGGCGACCAAGGGAGAATAAGAGTAGCGCATGAACGATCATAATTTGTATTTTAAAGCGTTGAGTGACTACAAAGCATTAATCTAAAAAAAAAAAATCAGAGATTTAATATGTACCCCGTTTCGAGATAAATCCACAGCTGGGATCTTAGCCCAGAGGTTAGTAGTGGGGATCTATTTCAAACTGAGCACAGCCACTATGAAGTCCGATGTAGAGGAACTCATGCCCAGGCTCCTGCCTGTGTCAGAATACGATACTGAAGACATTGATCCCAACGTACCTCCAACAAACCCCCAGGAGTATCTGCGACAGGTTCAGTAAGTTCGTTTTATGTTTTTTGTTAAAAAAAGCTTATTCATCTCTGTGATGAAAATAATAAATTAATCGGAAAGGTAAATCTAAACAGTTCTATCGCAGAGAATGACGCTGTGTGCATCTGTATTAAAAAGTGCAGTTTAAACAGGATTCTATTGGATCTGTAAGTATGGAACAATTCTGTAAACGGAATTTTCTTTTCAGGCTGGAGGCTGCGATGTGTCCTGATGTCGTTGTTGCCCAAATTGACCCAAATAAGCTGAAAAAGAAACAGACTGTGAATATTTCGGTAAGGTGTCATTTATAGTTCAAGTAGGTACTGTAGCTGCGTCAAGCTACAGTAAGTAAGGTGACACACCTGAAGAAGGCCTCATTGCCGAAACGTTGTGTTTCTTTTCTTCTCTTTTCAGCATGGAATAAACCTTTACTTGTTCCGTTGTTGTTTATATTCCGCTGTGCTGGAGTATGCTGTGTTTGTATTGCGTGGAAAACCATTATTACAAAATACATCCTTACTGCCCTGCAGTTCTTCTAACTTCTTCTGCTTCTAAGGGGTTGCTCTTAAAATCATTAATGGATTAAAAAACTGAACATGTCAACACATTATTTCACCTTGCTTAAACATAAGTGTTCCCAACTCGTGGATGTTACTTCCATTTAGTACTGTGAGAATTCATTTTTCTTGGATTACCATTGTGTAGCACAGTGCTTCACAGGGCTTGCTGACACAAAATCTCGACAAAGCCTTACAGTAACACTGACGACCGCTTTTGTGTGTATCTGGGTGTCTGTGATTGTGTATCTAACATTGGACTGACTTCACTGTCTGCCAGCTTTCTGGATGCCAGCCTGCCCCTGAAGGACTTGCCCCAAGTCTCAGATGGCAGCAACAGCAAGTTGGCAGTTTTTCAGAGGTCAGACAGGTAAAAAATATTTATTGTAAAGTTATTGTACTTAAAGTATACAGGCACTGGCCAGGCTCACACCTGCTGAGCTTCAGTAGGCTGCCAGTGGTGAGTTATATAATGGTGAATTGTATAATGTTACCATACCCAGAGGGGTTGGGCAGCCAGTTGACCTTGGACCCCTAGAGGTTTTTCTTCTCCTTACTGAGGAGTTTTTGGTTCCTCTCCTCTGTTGTCTTCTGGCCTTTTCTCTTTCTGTGACATGTAACATGACACGTAATGTATTGTCCAACAGCTTTGTTAAGTGTCTTGGGGGCAAGCTCGTTGTGAAAGGCCCTATATAATATTGAATTGAATATGGCTGCTGGCGTAAATGTGCCAGCGCCTGCTGTATAATAGTCTCCTCCCACAGCTGCAGATAATATTATCCTTTTACAAGAACTGCTGTAATGCATTGTTTTCAGTCTCTATGTCCAGATAACTGTAGTAAAGCTGTGCCTGCAGTTCCCCTTATTCGTTCTAGTTGAATTATTTTCGCACAACACTTTCCTGCCTTGTATAGTGACTTATTTGCATTTCTCTTGACTAGATTTGCATTATTTCCCCACTGCTAGGCTGCTGCGTGTATCTGTTTCTTCCTGTCGTCATCTTTATGCTGATTCATTCTAAGTTTGTGATTTGTGTCCTTGCTTTATTAGGATTTTATTGTATTGATCTACCTATTGCATTGATCATATGCAACTGGAAGGGCTCCTGGATAAGAGCTTCTGCAAAGCATATACATAATGCTAAAAAGGTGTCCAGCTTTATAATATAGGTCACAACTCCAGTCCTCAGAGCCAGAACACACAAGGTTTCTTGTTCTCTTTCAACACGTATTCAATTGGTTCAGTAAAACAACTAGTCAGCTCAATTAAGTCTAGAAGAGCAGAGATGTAATGAAAACTTATACACTGCTGCCCACCAGGGCTAGAGTTGCACACCACAGGCGTATAATATCTATATTTATATGACCGTGTTTTAATTTCTTGCTTTCAGAGGGTAAACAAACATCGGCAGCACTGGAAGGAGCAATCTCTGGATGACAATGTGATCATGGTGAGAACATACCACTGAGACACTTGATTTGTAACCCGGAGGGGGGGAGAATTGGGTCAATAGTGTTCAGTTATTTCTTCATTTATACTCACTAGCCCAAAGCAGGCGATGAAGAAGGGTGGAAGAAGTTCTGCTTGGGCGAGAACGTGTACTTTGAAAGGCCACGCACACAGGACCCCATCGAGAGCGACAGCCCCAGTATTGATTACGTCAAGGTGATTATTGACCTGTTCGCGTCCCTCTGCTGCAAACAAAGCACCGCTGTATTGAAAGCTATACACAGGCGGCTAGTGAGGGGAATATTGTTCCCCATGTTCCTTTTTACTCTGATCCAGGAAAGCCCTGGCTTTGGAGATGGGTAATGAGATTTTCCTGACCTCAGCTGTTACACATGTGGACCCATTGAGAACATGTGTGACTCTTCTGCTGTCTTTCTTTCAGGTGGGGTTCCCTCCTCTGCTCAGCATCGTCAGCAGATTTAGCCAAGTAAGACGTTTCATTTTGCTAGTACAGATCAGCCTGCATTTGCTTGTATTTAATTTAGGTACCAAGGTGGAGAAGGTTAATATCTGAGAAAGACAAGAAATAAATTATTGCAGTGGTAATATAAATTAGTTTTGCTTTCTCTTCAAGGTATTAGTTACTACTGTTCTGGAGTATTTGATCAACTGGTTTGTTGAGAGAGAGTTCTGCCCAGAACTGGTAAGTTTTCTTTCACATTGAATTCTTTATTTTAGTAATTATTTCTTATTTTAAGATCAAAGTAAGAGACCAGAGCTGCAAATGTTTTTTTTAACTGTGTTTAAAGTTATGTGAAATCTTTGCAGTCTTACTGCTTAATGTTTAATCTTATTCCTTTTTGTCATATATTTAGTCTCTGATTCACTTGGATTGTGCAGCCTACTGTATATATTTTTTATACATCCCAGGAAACTGGTGTTTGACTTGTTTTGATTTCGCTGTGTCTTCAGCTGTGGTGGAGGCTTATATGAGTGACTTGAAGTTCAGCTATTTCAAGCAGTTGTTTGCTAAATTTTTCTTCTTCTCGCACTTGAGAATATCTTATTATAATGTATAATATAATAAACAGAAGTATCTAAACTGCTTTTTCAGACTCCATTAAATCACCTGGAGGTCAATGAACTCTATTGTATTGTATTGAACTCTAAATATATTGTATGTACAAGCAAAGTCTTGACTATATTTGTTTAAAACAATGACTTTGTTTAACAGCAACTTTTGGCTGCTTATATAAACATACTTTCCTGCAGGGAAGATGGCTTTATGCATTGCTGGCCTGTATTGAAAAACCTCTGATTCCTGAAGCGCATTCCCTCCTCCGACAGCTGGCAAGGCAGTGCTCCGAAGTCCGTGCCAGAATTGTAAGCTTACTTCTACTGCTCGGGAACATACACATGTCAAAACCTTACTGTTTAAAGGAAAAATCATCAGTGGCCACTAAGGTGAAAGACAGTGTGTGCAGGAAAAATACAGCAGTTTCGTGATCAAATCTAATGATGTGAAAGATGAGACTTTGTCAGCTGGAAAGGGAATAGAAAATTACATTTTCCACTTGAATATTTTATTTTTTAAATAACATTTGTTCCCCTTGGATATATATTATATCACATATTAACAATATCATCATTTCTAAGCTGTGTGAAAAAAATCATCATTTCATCATTGTGCTAGAATGAAAATATCTCCAGACATAGGTGACAGTGAGTATTTTTCCATAATCAAGGAAAGAAATGCATGCAAGATTTTGAACTGGAGTTTAGTAATTTTAATTAATATACATTAAATGTTTGTGTCTCCATTGAATACATTTTATTGAACAATCGGGTAAAACAAAAGATTGGGGGTGGGGGGATTTGTTACATGAATAAATGTTACAGAATAAAGAGGCATTTTCTTACAGGAAAGTCAAGAAGATGAAAATCTGTGGGCTCTGAACTTATTGATTTGTCTGGTTGCCAGGTAAGTCTGATATATTGCTTTTCTTTTACTCTGTAGTCTAGTTAGGGAAATATTTTGTTGACAAGTATAGTCGAGGTTACATGACACATTTTTCAAAACAAATACTTTGTGTTTGAAAGCCAACTGACAAAGTGCTCTTTCTTTAGATATTTTGAACAGATCGACCTCGCGGATAAAGACTGACGTTTCTGCTGAAGACTACGTTTACTGTGGTAAACAAGCAGTACCAATACAACATGTTCTGCTCTTTTATTTGTTACACACAGTGTTGTCTCTGATAAAGCTGTCTTGCAGATACATGTTAATTTCACAGTTTTCCTTTCAGTCTCTCTACATCCTGTGCTGCAAAAAACAAAAATAAACTGTAAAATAATTATTGTATTGCATCTTGCTTTAGATCAGGAAATGTTGGGGTTGGTCATGAAAGTTTTGATACATTTTTAGATTGTAGGATTGTTCTGTGTCAATATTAAATACATTGTGAAAAATTAAAGTGATAAGATGATACACAAAGTGGAAGAAAGTTAAGAAGAGAATTCATTTATCTTAGTTATAATTGGTTTGTTCCTAATAAAATCAAATTAAATGGTAGTTCATGGGTTTTATATTGATATTATCCAAACTATACATATCTGTGTTGGTGTATTTTGATTCCTATGTAATATTCCATTGACATGGGATACTGCTACAGGTTTTTTTCATAGTACCTAAAGGGAGAAATTAGTGCGAATTCCATCACAAAGATGAAATGGCTCTTTACAAAACTTATCAAATGAATGCTTTTAGGGAAATGTATGTTAACTGACTTTTTTTTTCAAAACGTTTTTGGTTTGTGCATATTGTTTACTGTGCTCATATGTGACTTAACCTGCTTGTTCTATGTTTTTGCTCTTCAGCGATCATGTAAGCTATTCGGCAGTAGATTTTTAAAATGTAAGTGTTGTCTGGCCTGTACTTTGATCTAACAAATTGCTTTTGGTAAGCACTCTAAAACATGTTTAACGGTGTGATACTAGAATTTTTACTTTTATTTTTTCATATCCTTTATGATAAAATATGATTATTTTTTCTATGCAGTTTCATGTACTGTGGTTTTGCCAGCAGGTGCATTGTTTGAAACCTTGTCTATATGTGGAAAAATATTTATCTTCCAATCCATCTTTGGTACTTGAGAGGTAGGAGAGCACCCTAGTTCCTCAAAGGACACAAGCACTGAGGGGAGTTTAGAAATGCCAGTTAATCTGGACAGCATGTCTTTGGACTGTGGGAGGAATCTGGGCCATGGTGAGAACACACATGTGGACATGCTAAAAACATGCAAACTCCACATAGTAGGGGCCACAGGCCGGAGTCAATCCCAGAACCTGCAGCAGTGCTTGGTGCAGCACGACCGTGTCGCTGACCGGCTCACCGGAGCGAGGAGGGCCGACCGGATCACCCCGGCTCCCTGTGCACCAGACAGTGGCTTCCAAAGTACTGCTCCTGTCTCGAAGGTCTCGCCTACCTCCCTGATCTTCTTCTTTTTCAAACTTCTGGTCTTTAAGGTCAGGTCAGTTAAATCTGCTGCAGGTCCCCAGAACCAAACTGCATCGTGTGGGTGACTGTGCTTCTCTGTCTCTGCTCCTCACTTGTGGAACAGCTTCCCTGATCATCTCAGACAGTTTCAACTGAGAAAGCTTCTCTACCAGCAAGCTTATCAACTTCCAGTACTATAAACTCTCTGATTTTCCTGTCTTTTCCTTAGCAATTTGTCAGTTCCTTGACTTCTCTTTTATGTGCTTTTTATGTGAAGCACATTAAAATTCATTGTAATGAAGTGTGCTATACTATGTAAATTAAACATTATTTCCATTGACAATGATTAGATTTTATGATGCTTAAACATTATAGGATCTTAATAATCAGGAAATCAGAATGTTTTGTAGGTTATGTATAAAGCTTTTTTGGGCACTCATTCTGAACAGGAGCAATGTTTTAGGTTAGAAGGCTACAACCTAGTCAAATGTACTCTACTTAAAACAATGCAAAATGCATCAGTGCAATGGAGTATGTAGTATGTATTAAAAGATTAATAATGCTTTTTTTTAAATTAATGATTTGTCATTATCATACATTATTTTTATATTTTTAATGTTTAAAATACCCTGTGTAAAGTTTGAACATATGCACAAAATACTAGGTCAGAGCAGTAATATGAATTTAAGAAAAGTAACATAAAAAGAGAAAAATCACGTACTTTTAACAAGATTTAAATCTTTGTTTTTTTTTTCTCCTGGGGGACTAATGCTATGTTACTCCAAAGTGTAGGAAACATATACTGTATACCTGTTGCCTTTGACCTCAATATCAAAGCACCTACATTCCTCTCTACTAAGATGGCGATTAAGTTACGAAAATTACGTTGGACCCCTCCACTTCTACGACAACCAAACTATAATAAAATGTCTTCCTGTCTCCCGTTTTCGACTGACCTTGCTACCTCCCATGTGACTGGCGCCCGGACCGGTAGTTTGCTTGTCATTGGACAGCGTTGCTGCCAATCATCCTAATTTAAGCGGAAGTAGCGATACACTTCCCGACGTGCTCTACGGCGCAGGAGGCAGGCTGGGCTCCAGTGCTTGGACGAGGGAGAGCTAAGATGGCGGTGGCCGTGCGAACTTTGCAAGAGCAGCTCGAAAAGGCTAAGGAAAGCTTAAAAAATGTGGACGAGAACATCCGCAAGTTGACGGGCAGGGATCCGAACGAGCTTAGGTATGTGGGAGCTTGAGCTGGAGTCCTTACCAGAAGGTTCTTTATTCACCGGGTTCCAGCCTGTACTTCTTGGTCCTGCCTCTGGCTGCCGTTGTGGAGAGCTCATTATGTAAAATACGAAGTCAAATGGATCTGATTTCGAGAGAACACAAGATGAGCACATTGGCGCCCCACAGCAGCTCGGATCAAATGCTTTGTCGTGTACAGTTTATGAACAGCACCAGCACATCGGGTGTCCACCTTTCTGAATATCTGTTTTCTAGTTCCAAAGGTCGATGAAACGGTAGTAGTTATGCGTATGATTCTCAGGCTGACTGCCTAATTCAGCGGGCACAGATTGGGTTACTTACAGAACTTTAAACCGTGCACCCATCCTCCCAGTGTGGGTGTATGTGTTTTTAGTGGTGTGGGGAATAATGGTGGCCGCTTTCCGGCCTTACTTTCCCTGGGAGCCACATGTTGGTTTCCGTCACGAAAAGCAGACTTCGTCGTGTAAAATGCCCACGAGTAGTTCGTGCACAGATCGGGATTTCCGAGAAGCCTCAGAGATCATTAATGTCCCGAGTGTGTGTGTGCGCGCTGATCACGCACGTACTGCAGAGCGCGCCGTTCAGCCCACTCTTGGCGGCCACGAGGGAGAGAGTGCGGTTCTGATTTCGTCGAGCCCAAGTCATTCCCCGCATCCCCCAGGCGAGAAGGGCTG